CACCACGCCTCCACGTCACACACATCCCACAAAACGTCCAGGAAACCATTACCTTGGTGTGTTATGGATGCACGCCACATTGACACCTGTAATTGGAGAACCTTGACGGGTGCAGTAACACACACACACACCCACCACACACACACACCCACACACACCCACACCACCACACACACACACACACACACACACACCCCACACACACACACGTACCAATACAGATACAGTATACACAGATACAGTATACACAACGCACACAGCCTAATATTTTTACCATTAAAGTGTGTTATTGGGGAGAAACTTTTAACAGGAAACAGTCATAGCGAAGCAACTCAGTGTCGTCCTTCAATACAAAGTGATAATGTGATACTCTTGCACCTGACAGTCTGGCCAATAACGCGATTAAATTTCAGTCACATTCTCACAGTCGTTACGTGTGAACCGCAGGCCAGACAACGTGTCAAAGTGGACCATGACGTTTTTTTGGGGGGTCGGTCAAGAAAGGAGTAAACCTCACGCTTGTGGTGTTCTGGTTTTGTGAGAAAGTCCCAGCTTTCCTAACCTAGCCTAACTTGCTCAAACCTAATCTAACCAACTCAAAGCTCCCTTCCCACTCCCGTCCCTTAACTAGATATTAAAACTAAAAAAAAAATGAAACCTGACATTTATTCCACTTCATAAAAATACAAATTTGTGTACGAAATTTTGTTCTGTGGTATAGGTATTTTTGTCTCTCCATGGCCACTTAAAAGCTCTCTGGATTGACCACTAACAACATCTAGGAATAACTACCCATGTGGTATTTAACTCAAAGGTCATGTGATGTTATACAGTACCAGAGTAAACAGACCTTAACAATACCAGGACACATACTGTAATTACAAGTCAGTGTGTACAGGAGTATTATAACATAGTGTGTATAATACTGTCAGTAAGTTCTAAAGTACTATAGACTAATAACACAGGTTCATTTTTTTACTAGGACTTATCGTAGACCCCCTTGAAGATATAAAAACAATGGGAGATAATTACTAACTGAGGTAACAACGTAAAAACTCCAATCATTAGTCTATTGTTTGCTTCAAGACTTATCCTTGGTCCTTGAGGGGGAGGTGGCCTTGATGGGGAGATAGGTAGGGGTAAACCTTAGCCTTTGAATTGGGGGGAGGGGTGGGGGGGGCAGAATGGGTGGGTTAAACCTTAGCCTTTGAATTGGGGGAGGGGAATGGGGGGGAGGCAGAATGGGTGGGTTAAACCTTAGTCCCAGCGATCTCTTTTGATTCTTGTTCCGTAAATGGGCGCTACGAAAGGCGTCTGGCGTAAGTTGGTCTGGTGTAACTCATTAGTATAGCGTTGTAAGTAAGAGTCAACGTCAGGTGAAGTTGAATGCTCGTGCTGGCAGTGTTGTTGTTCTGGTGGGATTTAAGCTTCAATATCTCGTCCTAACTACATATTTTTTTAAGCTTCTCCATTTCCTCTACTAAGCTTTACTTTCTTTGAGTTTGATCAATTCTTATAAGTTTAATTTCGTTGTTAGCTTAATCCTTCTCTGGCTCGCCTTACACGCTTCACCTCGCCCACCTCGCCAATTAAACTCACCCACCTCGCCAATTAAACTCACCCACCTCGCCAATTAAACTCGCCCACCTCGCCAATTAAACTCACCCACCTCGCCAATTAAACTCGCCCACCTCGCCTAGCTGATCCATTCCACAGAGACATCAACCCACAAGAGAGGTGACCGTCGCGGTGTTGATATGACAAACCTGGTGTCTCCTTGAGCATACTGCAAACTCTTGTTACCTGCGTGGTGTTGGTGACTCTCTCTCTCTCTCTCTCTCTCTCTCTCTCTCTCATCGATCTTTATGTTTTCAGAACCTTTTTGATCACAATGTGTTCTTATTTAGACATGACGTATAATCCCTAAAAGTAAATAACTATCTGCTTGACTCTTGTTATGCTTGGTCAATCCGGCTACCTGACGTCTCTACCCCTCTCTCTTAATCACCTCCCTCCCTCCCTCCCTCACCCACCGCCACCCACTACCACCCACCGCCGCCTCCCATCCCAAGCACCCCTCCCCCCCCGGAAAAAAACAATGACCGGAATATAATGTCCATGATGGTTCTAACGCCAACAGCTTTCCAGTACGACAATTGTACCTCAAATTGTCTCGTTTTTTTCCCCGCCACGGAGCCACGACGGTGTACCTAACTTACTAAGAAGGTTAATTTGTTTCTCTAACAGCCGAGGAGGACGACTACGAGTCTTGTGTGAGATTATCGCTACGTTAATTATCTCAGCCCTAATACAACTTTCTGTAGACTAACTTATAGGGGGGGGAGGGGGGTACATTCATCCATAAAAGTCCCGTTGCCTCTCTTGAACCACGAACCCCCAAGATCCAGACTTAAGAATCCGAAGCAGTAGACACTAATCCATAACTGCTTCGGTTTCATGGGTGTGAATCTCGGGGTTTGTGGTTCAGTAGAAGAGGTGAGAGCAGAACTTTAGTGTGTGATTGTATATATCTATTGCTCGTAAATAAGACACTTACTTTCGGATGCACTTGACTCTGATATCTGCCCACTCACAAACTCTCCAGCACCTAGATATTGATTAAATTACGCTCCTCTGATAGGCCTTCTGCTGGTTACTATGTTAAGACCGTCTATCATAGTCCTCTGGCCATGTTAAGTTCTGTGTTGACCTAGACGGAGCTTAACTAGATGAGTGTCCTTATGATAGTCACCTGTAATTACACCTGTCCCTCTCCGATGCACACACACACACACACACACACACACAGTCTCTCTCTTTCTCTCTCCATTCTCACATGCATAACACACCGTAACACACCATAACACGCCCTAACATGTTATAACACGGTACACCAGCAAGTTATCACCACCTCATGAGTGGGGGTTAGAGTTATAGCCTGGAACGAGATATTATAAGAGAGAGTCACATCTCCCTGGCCAGACGTGACGCCAAGAGACTCATCTCACCTGTTAAGTGGATCAGGTAATTGAATACTCGAGTTAAAGAGCTGTATAGGTAAAAAAAGGAACACCTGAAGACTCAACAACCTAGATTATCTCACGTGATGAAGATACGATAACCTAACCTAACCTAACCTAACCTAACCTAACCTAACCTAACCTAACCTAACCTAACCATCAAAAAAAGAGCGCCATAGTTCGCTTATACTGTAAGTCTCAAGATTCAATAGAGAAAACTTTAGCCTGTTGGTAATGCTGGGGGGTAATATCAGGCTTTTGGTCTGTTTCAGTACTCGCAGGTGTCAACGTTAGTTATAAGAGTTTGGCATGAGAAGACAGTAAAGGAAACGAGGCGTGAGATTAACTTAAAGAAACTGGAGTGTGAGATTAGCTTAAGAAATCGAAGCGTGAGATCAGCTAAAAGAAAACGAGGCGTGAGATCAGCTAAAAGAAAACGAAGCGTGAGATCAGCTAAAAGAAAAAGACGCGTGAGTACCAGTGAGTTGAGGAAAAATTAGAGCACGTCTTATATCAGTGGCGGAGGGTCGCACCTGTGACGCAGTGGTGGACGAGACCTGTACTAACCCCTTCCTTCCCTCCCCCTCTCACCACTTCCTCTCAACCCCTCTTTCCCTCCTCCCCACCCCCTTTCCCCCCTCCCCACCCCCTTCCCCCCACCCCCTTTCCCCCCTCCCCCACTCCCTCTCCCTCCTCTTCCACTCCTTCCCCACCCCCCCCTCCCTCCCACTCCCCCCCCCTCCCACCCCTCACCCCCCCTTCCCCACTCTTTTCTCCCTTCCCCACTCTTTCTCCCTCCCCACTCCTCCCACCCCTTCCTCCACCCCTTCCTTAGACACTATGATGGTCATTATTTTATTTATTTACTTTTGACAAAGTCCTTTCACCTCTAAGGGGCCAGTGTGTGTGTGTGTGTGTGTGTGTGTGTGTGTGTGTGTGTGTGTGTGTGTGTGTGTGTGTGTGTGTGTGTGTGTGTGTGTGTGTGTGTGTGTGTGTGTGTGTGTGTGTGTGTGTGTGTGTGTGTGTGTGTGTGTGTGTGTGTGTGTGTGTGTGTGTGTGTGTGTGTGTGTGTGTGTGTGTGTGTGTGTGTGTGTGTGTGTGTGTGTGTGTGTGTGTGTGAAATTAATAATGTGATTCCTATTTACCTTTCCTTATTAAGCTTACTTGATTTAATTATTAGATAGATTGCCTCATTAAGCTTACCTGATAATAGCATAAGTCTTATTTGATTCCCCTAATAAGGTTACCTGATACTGCTAATAGGTTTACCTGAGTTCACTAATAAGCTCACCTGATTTCAATGATAAACTCTCTTCTACTCCCCACCCCTCTTCACCTACCCTTCCCTCACCTCTCCTCCCCCCCTACTCCTTCCCCCCTCTCACCTTCTCTCCCCCCCCCCTACACCCACAATGGTGAATGAGTGAAATAATGAGATAAGATCCCCCTTACTCATGCCCGCCTCGGTAATCAGACGACAGGGATATGAGTAATGAGTCCAGCCAGTATGAATGATGATGGTGTTAGGGATGAGGGACACTATTATTCACCCTCTTCTCGGACTCAAATGTACACACCTTCAGCGGCACCAAGGGGGGGGGGGAGATGTGGTCGAGGAGGAGATCTTCTTCTTCTTCTTCTTAAATGTCCCCCAAACGCCCTAAATGTGTCCCAAACTCCCTAAATGTGTCCCAAACGCCCTAAATGTGTCCCAAACTCCCTAAATGTGTCCCAAACACCCTAAATATGTCCCAAATTCCCTAAATGTGTCCCCAAACTCTCTCGTGTTGGCTGGCTGTGTTGACTAAGCAAATTTACCGTCGAGTAAAGGAAAGGAGAAAGTAAGCGATGGAGTGTGGAGTAATGTCTTGGGAAGATTCTGACACAGCCAGAGTGTCTTGTGGTGTGAGCTGTGTGTGTGTTGTTACTTGTGGACACCTGTTGTTATTGTTACTCTCTCTCTCTCTCTCTCTCTCTTACCTCAACAAGTAGCAGGACCTTCTCACTGCCAGTAAACTTGGAAGAAATCTGAAAGTAAAGAAATAAAACATATTAGTAAAAACACCAACATCATCTATACATCCTCACGCCTTGATGAGCCACTAACACCTCTGCGTCACTTCTACTCGTTCAGGAACAATCTCTTAGGGCACTACTTATACGCAGGAGGCGCCGCAGGGATGCAACAGAGGTATAGGTCCTCCTCCGCCATCATCAAACACTGGTCACGATTCACTGTCTGTCATTCAGGAAGTCATTAATTTAGTTGTTGGGATTTATATTGATTTGTGTGTACCTGACGTATTTATTGGGGGTTTGTTGTTTTTATGACGGGTTCACTTTGTCTGTCCGTCTCTGTCTTCGTCTTCCGTCTAAAAGTTTCAGTATACAGTGAGTATTAAGTGGTGCTCTCGCTGTTCTCCCTGCAGCCTCGCCTCTTACATCACAGCTTCAAACAATGACCTAAGTCCCGCCCAGCATTCCATCTTGTGTTCGCCTTTGCACCGCTGTAAACACCACCTTCCTCATTCCGGTCGTTCCTTGGGCGGTCCTCCGTCCTGGCCGGCCTGCGAGGAATGTTCTAAAACGAGAAGTAACTGCAGGGTGGGTGGAGGTGTGTGAGGGAGAGTGGGTGGGTGGGTGGAGGTGGGTGAGGGAGAGTGGGTGGGTGGGCAGTAGCCTCGGGGTCTGTCATGACGGACGGTGCTCGCGAGACCTGCAGATGCGCCTCTGTCCCCCACCTCCCGGGGCACCTCTCGTGTGTGTGTGACAGTATTTTTTTTTATTTGCTGTTACTTTTTTATCTTCCCTTTTGTTTTTACTCTTCTTCTGTTTCTCTCAATTTATCTTCTTTTACTCATACTCTCTCTCTCTCTCTCTCTCTCTCTCTCTCTGCTTCTTAGTTCTTACGTTTTTATCCTGCCATTTTTTCCTTTCATCTTATATTTTAAATCTTTCACTGATGTCCTGTTCACCTCCTAACTTTCTCTCCTTCACTTTCTTCCTCCTTTCCCCTCTCCTCTTCCACTTCCCTCACTCTCTTCGTCCCTCCTCCTCCACTTCCCCCAAGGAGAGAAAAGAAAAAGGAGGCACAGACAGACAGACAGACAGACAGACAGAGTAAGTGTCAGGGGAAAAAAAAAGAATAACAAAAAGTAAAAACAACTTAACAACGGAACAAGAGAGCCAATAACCTCCTTCCCTGGCAGCCAACTAATTAACAAGACAAATACCAACAAGGTTTTAAAGGGACCATAAAAATCTCTCCTAGACTTCTCACCCTTCATTCTCCCCTCCCTCCTCCCCCCCTAACCACACGGAGCCTCACCCCCTTTCACCAGTCTCCACCCCTCCTCCCCACAAACAGAATGGTTTAATTATCTCCCACTGTTGGTTAAGGACAAAAGCTGGTGTCTGGCACAGTGGCAGCTACGGGTCATCACAGTACACAGGTAAAACTCAGCCTCTACACCGCTCATGTTCCCGATAGTTAATTAACCTTTGGTCGCTGTGGCTCAGGTGAGACTTGAAATTTTTAACACAGGTGCTGATGACTGGGTGGCCAAGGTGCTGGTGATAGATATGTGTATGTGTGTCTGTATGTCTGTGTCTGTAGGTCTGTGTCTGTTTGTTATATTTATGTCTGTGTCTGTATTTGTTTTTGTCCGTGATTGTGTTTATTTCTGTGTCTATTTTCTCTCATATGTCTGTGTATGCCTGTGTATGTCTGTACCTGTGTATGCCTGTGTCTGTCTAAGTCTGTATATGCCTGTTTATGTCTGTCTGTGTATGTCTGTGTATGTCTGTACCTGTGTCTGTCTAAGTCTGTGTATGTCAGTGTGTCTCTTTACTGACCTCTCGTTATTTTTAGTCTGTCCAGTTTGGTTTTCTTCTATGTATACTTATCCAGCTATAAACTCCACTACTACTACTACTACTACTACTACTACTACTACTACTACTACTACTACTACTACTACTACTACTACTACCAACGACGACGCCGGTGGAGGAATGATTTAGTACCGCTGTCATAAAAGGCTCACTAACCATCAACCACTGTAACTACCAACGTTGAAAAAGATGAAGAAATTCTACCAATGAAACTTAAAGGGTGAAACAGTTATTGACCAATTGAGGATAAAAAACAACGATAAAAAGAAATATTAACTAAACTCCATCAATAAAATACACAATAACAACTTAGACGTTAAAGAAAATATATAAAATTAACAAAAACACTGAAATAAAGATCATTGTTGCAGACGATATGAGGGGAGGGGGAGGGCAAGAGGGGAGGGTTAGAGGGGAGGCAGGAGGGGAGGGCGGAGAGGGGAGGGCGAGAGAGGAGGGCCAGAAGGAGGGCCAGAAGGGAAGGCAAGAGGGGAGGGCAAGAGGTGAGGGCAAGAGGTGAGAGCAAGAGACAATGTTATCATGTTCACCCAGTAGGCTCTTCATTCCAGGCTATAGGTGGGTGGAAGGAAGGTCAGACCAACTGTTCTTTATAGCGACCACCTGTCTTTAATGTTTACTAATACTCTCTCTCTCTCTCTCTCTCTCTCTCTCTCTCTCTCTCTCTCTCTCTCAGCAGCACATAACTCAGGGGTCGATGGCATGTGTTAAGATGTCCCAGTTATGGTATAATGGCCGCCGGTACTATTAGCTGAGGTTACGAGGCAGATTCTCCTCCCGTAGACAAGATGACTCGATAACCCGCTGTCGAGACCCTGCCAGTCATGACCCTTCCTAGAAACTGCTGCTGTCAGGGAGGGTTCAGTGTTAATGTATCTGTACTGTATATTGTCGCCAGCCGTAGCACTGAGGTCATCATGCACTCAACCATTACACATCACTGTCATCATGCATTCAACCATCACACTTCACTGTTCTCATGCACTCAACCATCACATATCACTGTCCCCATGCACTCAACCATCACACTTCACTGTTCTCATGCACTCAACCGTCACACATCACTTCTCATGCACTCAAACATCACACATCACTGTACATTCTTGTCATGAGGCAGCCAGTGTGTTTGGTTACCTTAGAGAAGAAAGATCACTTATAGTTCCTTGTTACGGCTGTTCAGGTCATAATGTACTCCATTTAGAAAGCGACGTGTCTGCGTTAGACTCAAGAATGTCCGCTCTAACAACACGGATTTCCTTGTGACACAGTAGGTGGGTAGATGGTGGTACAGTACAGTGGGTGGTGATACAGTACAGTGTGTGGTACAGTACAATGGGTGGTGGTACAGTACAGTGGGTGGTGGTACAGTACAGTGGGTGGTGGTACAGTACAGTGGGTGGTGATACAGTACAGTGGGTGGTGATACAGTACAGTGGGTGGTGGTACAGTACAGTAGGTGGGTATGAGTAACACCCGAGCTATGTTGGTGTAATACTCAGTGGGACAGGACCCTCAACCCCATGCCCCGCCAGAGTAGCTTTCACAGCCACCCAGCCCCAGCTCCTCCACCGCCCGGTCAAGCCAAGAATGGGGACAGGGTGCGCCGACTCGATAAAAAAACCGAGTGTAAAATACGACTATATATACAAAGTACATCATGAAGGTAACACACCTGACCTGTGCTGATTATTACCAGGTATTGTGGCGGCTTTATTATTATTACACACACACACACACACACACACATACATACACATACATACAAGGTGGCGGGGACCATTCAAGCACACTCCCTGCCCTCAAACGCGTGTATTTTACCATCTCCCCCGGATGCCCTGAGCTCTGCGGCCTTGGCACGGAGAATCCTTCAGGACATTAACTTGGTGATGATAAGAGACATCCAGCAGCCTTGACGACGCCCGCTGTTGGTTTTGTTGACTGATAATGAGGCGTTTAAGGCGGGGTTTGTTTTGTGTGTGTGTGTGTGTGTGTGTGTGTGTGTGTGTGTGTGTGTGTGTGTGTGTGTGTGTGTGTGTGTGTGTGTGTGTGTGTGTGTGTGTGTGTGTGTGTGTGTGTGTGTGTGTGTGTGTGTGTGTGTGTGTGTGTGTGTGTGTGTGTGTGTGTGTGTGTGTGTGTGTGTGTGTGTGTGTGTGTGTGTGTGTGTGTGTGTGTGTGATATTGTCAATACTCATTAACTCATTATATTTGAAGGTTACAGGATGAGTGATAGTGACCATTATGATATGATGATGATGGGAAAAAGGTTTGATGACAGATTGTGAATGACATTGAGCCCGTTATTGGTATATGATGGTGACTGGGGGGGAGGTTGATGGTGTAGTGAGAGAGTAATACAGAGATGAGAAGTGTATACGAGCCAGGAGAGAGATGCATCATAGGGTCAAGGTGAGTATTGATGGATGCACACACACACACACACACACACACACACACACACACACACACACACACAGTAAGTGATAACTACAAGGAGAGAGTAAGTACATTATTAGTATGACAATTAACACGAGAGAGAGTCCACCTTTGTGACATATGAATAATAACAATAATAATAATAATAATAATAATAATAATAATAATAATAATAATTAATCTCAGTATTTCAAGGTTACGGGTTTGAACGTAATAATCTCGTTGGACAAGTTACTAACACTCATACAGACGTTCATCTGTATATCACTTGTGTTAAAAGTATGCTAAGGGAGGGATGGAGAGGGGAGATGGAGGGAAGGAAGGAGAAGTAAAGAAGGGTGGATTAAAGGAGGAAGAAAGAAAGTCTTGGCGACCCGTAAGAGGCACTGCACTCGACCACCTTCCCTTCACCAAATGTAAAGTCAGGTACACATTCACAGCTGGTTGGCTTGGAGACGCCTCTGGGTGCGAACTAGCCAACCTTTAGGACAGATGGTGAACGCTGTATCCACTTACGTCTTGAATTACGACCAATCGAAGTAGTATGTGAGACCCTAGATGTGTTTATTGTTGAACATCATCAGTAAAATATCAAAAGGTTTTATCTTTATAGGTCATAAGACAGTGTTACCTGGTGGTGAAGGCTGATGGGTAAGAGACGGTCATCAAAACTGAGATGATTT